AACAATGCACAAGTTACTTAATGGTAGAGAGAGAGAGAGAGAGAGAGCATGCACACTTCTGTTGTGTGATCTTGATGTTCGCTCACTTAGCACGCATCATTTGGATTAAATCGTAAATATAAGACAATTTGTAGGGGCATTCACTATAAATGTCATTTTTTTTCACCCTTAAGCATACATGACTTTCTGGCTAAAGTGAAACTAACAGCCTGTGTGAAATGCACTAGGCTGTACTGTACTTGCCCCTCTCATTCTGCACCAGTAGCCTACAAATACGTGTGCGCGGTGTGAATTTTGCTTGCTTCATGAGTGTTTCTGCATTATATGAGTGGCTTTGGAAAAATAAATCACTGCACGTTTCAGATGAAAAAACGCGACTTGTATTTATGAAAATATCACAGGAGATTTATAGCGAGTGGTTCCCTGCATTTTTACAGCAAATTGCGTGATTACAGTACTAAGCCGCTGCAATGGAACAGCTCTAATGCTATTAAATTAAAGATGATATAGGCTACCATAGAGAGAGAAAAAATGAACAGTGAAAGTAACAAAAATATGTAAAATACATTTTAATGGACATAATTAAGTGTGAAAATAACAGAAGGATATACAGTCAAAGCAAAAATTATTCAGAGACCAGATGTCGTGACCAGCTGTAAGTGAGGATAGCAAAATAAACTAAACTGTGATTATATTATACCCAAAAATTCTTCATACAGTGGACTACCAGTAAAATTTATACAAATTTGGGTCCAAAAATTATTCAGAGACCAGATGTCGTGACCAGCTGTAAGTGAGGATAGCAAAATAAACTAAACTGTGATTATATTATACCCAAAAATTCTTCATACAGTGGACTACCAGTAAAATTTATACAAATTTGGGTCCAAAAATTATTCAGAGACCAGATGTCGTGACCAGCTGTAAGTGAGGATAGCAAAATAAACTAAACTGTGATTATATTATACCCAAAAATTCTTCATACAGTGGACTACCAGTAAAATTGATACACATTTGGGACCAAAAATTATTTTGGTCTGGGTTTGATGATATGAATTAGACCTTTTATCCAATATTTTCAAAGCCTGCTTGTAGAGTCTTTCTATTGATTGCAAAATAGTCCCACCTGTCTGTGTCCAACTGGTGAGACAGTAATTCATATGTGAAAAAATCATAGCATTAATGTATAACTTTGAGGCCTCAGTGGTTAAATTATTCCTAATATATCAAAAATTTGCCAAATTAAATTTTATTCCCAACTTTGAACTTTTTTTAAATGTAAGTTGTGAATCAAGTATTATACCTAGATATTTATACTCTTGAACTACTGATAAACTTTTACCTGCAACTGTGACATCTGGATCGGGATCTCTATTTGCAGACTTTGAAAAAAACATACATACAGTTTTGCTAACATTAAGATGTAAACACAAGTTTTTTAACCAATTTGTAATCTTAACCATTTCTGCTGATAATTCATCTGCCGCTTGTTTTTTAGTTTTAGCATGCAAATATATAATTGTATCATCAGCATACATCTGGCAATTTACAGCAGGTGCACAAACATCAGGCAAATCATTGATATACAAACTGAATAACAGAGGACCTAATATTGATCCTTGAGGTACACCAACTGAATTAATAAGTGATTGTGAGATTTTATTATCTACTCGAACACACTGTTGTCTATCCATTAAATGATTTTATCCATTTAATTACTCTTATTGAGAAATTATAATTAGTGATTTTTTTCTTCTCTAAAAACTGTATTTTTTTCAGACAGTTTATCAGTAATCACTCTTGTAGGGCTACATGAAGTGATTTCCCAGCATTTTTTGAGGACTGACCAGTTGCAAATGTGATATTTATTTACAACAATTCAATAGGAACTTCATATTGTGGTTTATATTAGACACAATATTGTCTGATTTTGCTAAATTGTGTATGTGAAAATATTACCTATAAAGCCACAGAAGAACTGTTGTGCGTCTCCTAATAAAACACAATAGGTGTTGGACTTGAAGCAGCACTGCATAGACTGTTCTGTGTGTGACATCAAAGTACCACGAGAGCGATTAGTAAAAAAAAATAAAAAAATTTTTGGAAGTCAAATAGGTCTTGCTGTTTTGCTTTTTTGTTAAAGCAGTGTTGCTGTTGTAAAGCTACAGTTCTACAGTTGTGTTGCTGGGTTTTAAAGCAGGTTTGATTTTTTATTTTCTTCCTTATCAGTCTGTAGTTACAGCAATTTCACTGTCCACTCTGTTCAAATGTGGATGAATGGCTACACATAGATGTGTGCACACACACTGTCAGAGCTGTGTGAGATCACTACCATACTGAGGGTGGGTAGGGGTGTTAATTTTTCCCCCCATAGGTTTTTAACATTCTAAAAGCTCTTTATTCCAAAGATACTACAAGCTAGT